AGTAACGAATGGAGTTTCTTGCTCGTTCTTCTCCACTTGAATCGACATTTTGGAACGAGCGCCTAGCTTCACTGACGGACAGACTGACAGACTATTATATATCTCATATTTGTTGACGTTTCAAAAGTACCAAATTATGGTCTAATTGAAATAAATGCTTTTGAGTTTGAGTTTGCTTACAAGACTTGCTTTTTACATTCAGATACTTTTGTGTTGAACAAATTACTATTTTTGATATGTACAATCTCTAGTCATTATTTTGTCACACAGAACACATAAATGTGCAGCAACAATAGCCACAAAAGGAGAGAACATCAACATTGCTTGGTCTCCGAACGGCAGCACTATTGCAGTTGGCAACAAGGAGGATCTAGTTTCATTTATAGACACTAGGACTTATAAAGTTGTAAGTAAACTCTCATCAGCTTTACCCTGCAATATGTTATACTAACAAAAAAATTACAATCAATTTTGGTACATTTGTACCAAAATTAACTTAAACTTAATTAAGTCCAAATAAATTGTTTGAAACATAGTTCTGTTGAAAAATATTGTTTTGTGTCGAATTTAAGAAATTATGCAGAGTGCTATACCGTGCGCGAACTTTGGTACGCGCCACTACTACTGCAGTACAATTTTTTTTCAGTGCAGTCACTTAAATTGAAAATTTGACTGGCAGTACTTGATCGTCAAAAAATGAAATTATTTTTCAAACTAAAGCAGTTGGCTCAGAATTTATCATTCCATAATACTGCAGCGCTATTCAGGATAACACAAGCAAAAATACAGATGAGACAATAAAGAATTGTAGCAGCAAGAGAGAAAAGACACAGGCACAGAGTGTAATTTTTCGCACATAACACATAGTCACTAATTTAAAAACTATATGATTTGGATTTTTTTTATCTTAGAACTTTGCCGTTCTCCTGGTGCCATTTGATCGTAGACTTCAGGGACACCCTGAATATTAGTTACAAATTATATTTCTAAGTTCTTTGTGAAAAATTCAAAATTAAACAACAATAATTAGCTAAGCTGGAAGACTTATTGAGAAAACTGAGAATCATTGAAATATTGAAGTAAAGAATTTATGATATCTGCAGCTGTAGCCAAATGCTATGTAGCGCTTGTCTACATGTAGAATAGACAACCAAATTATATGGAATTGATGTAAATTTTTACACTTGTCAGTGTCATCTCCATACATTTAGTTTTCTACTCTCTCTGTAGACAAGCGCTAAAGTGGCATTTGGCTTAAGGCACAGAACTGTTGTCCTTTGTCTATAGGTGGTAGAGGAGCAGTTCAACTTTGAAGTAAATGAGATCTCATGGAACAACACATCAGACCTGTTCTTCCTGACTAATGGACTGGGCTGTGTGCATATATTGTCGTAAGTTATTATATTACTCTTATTCATTTGCTAATATAATAATTAATGTAAAAGTATGTCAGGATATATAGATATTTATCATTCTTTCTTGCAATAATAATTTGCTACAGGTCTAGATGACAATTCTTTTATAAACTATGTTTACAAAAACTGTTCTGACCCCTTCTTGTTTTGAAGTTGTAATTAACACATTAAACGCCATGGGGGTTACCAATGACCGACTTTAGCAGTTTTGTATTGACAGTCAAAGCCTTAATATACTAAAAACCGTCTCCTAATAGAGGCAAACACTTTTCTGAAAACTACATCAAAATCGGTTCAGCCAAAGACCCGGTGCCCCTTTCAGGTGCTGAGGGGGTGGCCACTGTATTTTACACGGTAAAAATGCCACACGCCCTAGTATGCCTCCTCAATAATTCTTGTAGAAACTACGTTTTTTTAAATATTCCGTTAATGAATGCACTAAAACATTCTCCTGAATGTAACAAACACTTTCCAGAAAACCGCGTCAAAATCGCTTCAGCCAATCGCTAGATAATCCTCGTGCACAAACATACATACATACAGGTCAAACTGTAAGCCGCCTTTTGTTGAAGTCAGTTAGAAATTGGCAGTCACAGGCACAAATAGATTGTGTAATCATTTATTTGTAATTTGTAAGTCTTAAGGGTCTTAAGGAGCCGACGTATAGCCAACCATTAGGATATTTATATTCCACAAGGCAAATTAAATTATTGTACTAAAAAAATGCCATCAAATATTTTGCAAATTATTTAAATATTGTTCTTTGCAGGTACCCCTCTCTAGAACTACAGACAGTATTGAAGGCGCACCCGGGCACGTGTATCTGTATAGAACATGACCCCACTGGCCGGTACTTCGCCACGGGCTCCGCTGACGCCCTCGTCTCCTTGTGGGATGTTAATGAGCTCGCCTGTCTGAGAGTATTCTCTAGGTGAGATAAAATGAACTACAACTAAAGTAAAAATTATAAAAATTATTATTGCATACTGTATATTGGAGTGACAAATGAACAATAATAATAATAGAATAAATGTTAAAGCGTCACACGATGATAATCGATGTCACAATACCCCATGACGAGGTATGCGTTACCCAGGCCAGATGTTGTCGAAAATGGTCAATTGAATCTTATAGATAACTAGCAAACCCGGCGAACTCCGTTTCGCCACCAGATGGCTTCGGTTTATGTAACATATCATTAAAAAAAATGTTTTTTCGTAAATTTTCTTTGTTATAAACCTCACGGAGCCCGAGACCTTTCCAACGAATGCAAAACCGTGGAAATCGGTTTGTGCGTTCTAGAGTTGTAACGTCAGGAAGGAAAACCCGACTTATTTTTATATAGTAGATTAGTTGTACGGCTTCTGTAATTGTTACGCACATTTTTAAATTTGTTGCTCTTATAGTTTTTTAATTATTTCACAAAAACATTTCCCGATGGGGTAACGTTACCCCACCCAGACCTTTTTCTTTCTAATGGGAATATTTAAATAATTACTAGCTATAAAATTAGTTGTCTAGATGAAGTAAATGTTGTGCATTGTTTTGTATTTGTTCTTTCATCGGTTGCGAGGTTATTCAAAATTTTGCTGGGGTAACATTTTTGATTTTGCTAGATCTTTGAAATGGTGAAGCGGATTCTTATCATATTTGGTACATGGCTTCCGAGGAATTAGTTCAAATTTGTTGTACAATAAAAAACCAAAATAATAAATAGCTTAAAGGTTATTTTATTAAATAGAAAAACACGTCAATTGTTCCCAGCACTCTCAATAAGAGCTTTAAAGACTTACTTTAAACGTTATTTTAAAGCCTGTAACTGCCTTCAAATGTATGGGAAGTTTCATTAGTATCCTATAAGTATTGAACAAGTTATGATGATATTGAGTTCTTCAAGAGCACGGTCTTGATACGCGCGGTATTATTTGGCCACTGGATTGGATATATGAACTGAATGTTATGTCAATAATTAGTTGTTTAGTTCAGTTATATATCGGTAAAATTTCAGCTCAGTACATTAGATAATTAATGAGATAATACAATTAAAGTCATTATGAAGAGAATGACCGTAGTAACCCGACCAAGTTTAGTTGGTTACGAAAAAGCGAAAATGCAGAACAATACGGTACCTTCTAAAATATGTTTACTTCATCTAGACAACTAATAGCTAGTAATTATTTAAATATTCCCATTAGAAATAAAAAGGTCTGGCTGGGGTACCGTTACCCCAGCAGGAAATGTTTTTGAATAATTAAATAACTATAAGCGCAACAAACTTAAAAATGTGCGCAACAATTATAGATACCGCACAACTAATTATCTACTTATAAGATTCAAATTACCATTTTCGACAACATCTGGCCTGGGTAACGCACACCATGACGAGACCTTCGTGATAGCTGAGAAAGATAAACAAATAAAATATCTAGGCTTAGCTCACGAGGTTGTCGACATGTGGAGTGTGGATTCGGCTGCCATTGTCTCGATAGTCAGATAGTCGTCTCGTTCAATAGTTAATCCCTAAAAGACGAATCATCCATCTTCGGAGGCTGGCGTTAGGTGGATGGGCCTGATACAGAAAGCAGTTCTCTTAGAAACCTATCGTGTCTTATATTTTTGCGTCGAATTGCAAACCCAACTAAATATTTCCTAAACTGGCTAGAAAAACATTTCACACTGTTTTTCCTTTGTATCTAAATATATGTCGTGTTATTTACAGACTAGAATGGCCGGTGCGCACGTTATCGTTCAGTTTCGACGGCAGACTGCTTGCGTCGGCCAGCGAAGACCACATCATCGACATAGGAGACACGGAGACAGGTAAATTGATTATTATCAGGACATTGGCTACACTTTTCAATCTTCCAATATTGAGAAACTGTCTATTTATAACTCTAAATGTATAAGGAAAGATCACTTTTGACGGTAACACATTATGTTAAGTAATACATTTTCTCCTTTCATCAACAAAATCGAGCTACTTTTTGTATTTCCATACCCAAATCAGTAATCGTTGACAGTCTAACTACATCAGTTACCATCGTTTAAATAAGTTTTTTTTTGATCAAGCTACAAAACACATTCGTGTGCGTTACCCAGGCCAGATGTTGTCGAAAATGGACATTTGAATCTTAGAGATAATTAGTTGTGCGGCTTCTGTAATTGTTGCGCACATTTTTAAATTTGTTGCGCTTATAGTTTTTTTTTTAATTATTTCACAAAAACATTTTCTGCTGGGATAACTTTACCCCAGCTAGACCTCTTATACTAAGAGCTCTTATTGAGCGTGCTGGGACCAATTGAAGTGTTTTCTATTCAATAAAATAACCTTTAAGCTTTGTATTGTTTTGGTTTTTTTATTGCAGAACAAATTTAAACTAATTCCTAAGAAGCCATGTGCAAAATATGATAAGAATCCGCTTAACCATTTCAATGATCTAGCAAAACCAAAAACGTTACCCCAGCAATATCTCGAATAACTTTGCAACCGATGAAAGAACAAATACAAAATAAGGCAAAACATTTACTTCATCGAGACAACTTATTTTATAGCTAGTAACTATTTAAATATTCCTATTAGAAAGAAAAAGGTCTGGCTTAACGTTACTCCAACAGGAAATAATTTTGTGAAAAAATTAAAAAAACTATAAGCGCAACAATTACAGAAGCCGCACAACTAATTATCTCTAAGATTCAAATGACCATTTTCAACAACATCTGGCCTGGGTAAAGCACACAACACTTTCACATTCATCCTTAGATAAACACTAGCCCAGTTAGTGTCATCTGTGCCTGCCAAGAGATTGAAAAGTGCTGTTGTGCTTCCTGGGCGGCGTCAGCAGATGAATGCCTGTACTCACTCCAAACGTCATTTGGCCTTCGACTAATTTGCTCATAGTCTGGCAAATGATTGTAAATGACAAAATAAGATAAATAAGTTTGGGTTACGATGGGGCTGACGTAGCCTATAGGTTAAAAGCTCTAAAATAAAAATTAACCCCTTACCCAATAAACAGACTATTAAAGCATATTTATATTCCTTTGCAGGAGAAAAAGTAGCAGAGATCCCAGTACAAGCATCAACATTCACAGTAGCTTGGCACCCGTCTCGCTACCTGGTCGCCTTCGCGTGTGAAGACAAGGAGCCGCCGGAGAGGAAGCGGGATGCTGGGAACCTCAAACTATGGGGACTGCCTAACTCCAGCTAGATGTATAGTAATATAGAACTTGCTTAACTATTGGCCGAAGTTCATAATCGATTTATTAATGTCGACTGTAAAAATATGTAGGTTTTTAATTCAGGGATGTTATGGATATGAAATTTGGATACGGATATAGAAATTATCCGAAACTAAAGGATAATTTCGGTTATGGATATTAAAATTTTAAGAAATTTCAAAAGTAATGGTTTGATTTTTACGTCACGCCCGTATCCGATACTTTTATTTCGGATTCGGTTACGGATATTTTTTATATCGGATATCCGATAGTTTCGGTTACGGTTACGGAGCTCCCTAACATCCCTGATTTAATTGAAATATACGGCTTACGAGTAAAGCTCAACTAGTTTCAAAGTCACAACGGGACTCTCAGACATGAGCACCGTTTGACGTTGTCGCGCAGCCAGTCAGCTTGTAACTAGTAGAGCTTTGTTTCATTAGTTAATGTGAGCTGAAATCGTAATTAAGATCTTAATTTTTGATAGAAATCAAAATAGACCTCAATCTGAAGATTTTGATTTGAGAATGGTTTTGTTAGGCTGTATTATCAGTATAGTACATTTAAGTTAATATAACAGTTAGCCTTTACAGCTCTGAAAAAGGCCCAGGAGCCGCTGGGTACAGGTTGCTTCCAACAGGATCAGGGTACTAACTCTTGAAACCAATCTCAATGTCAATGCAATGTCAATCCAATAGTGAAACCTCAATAATTATTGAATGTCAAAACTATACAACCTCAATATTTAGAGTTTAGACTATGGAATATAAAGCTAAATTCAATACCATTTAGTTCGTTCAATATCCGAACAATACGGATGCAATAGGCGCTAGTGTTGCAACTCACGAGAACGAAATTTTACAATACCAATTTCGATCGATTGGAATTGGATTCAAGAGTAAGCACACTGAAAGTCATTGGGGGACGCCTATCTGAGGCAGTTGTCTTGTGGCTGATATGATGATGAAAAGATTTCTTCTTGTAATGTAGTTGTTTAAACAATATTTTTTTTTTTGTAATTTCGTACGTTTTTGTGATGTAAACATTAAATTAATAGATTATTTCTCTTTGACTGTATAAAATTGTGTGCAGGTCCAAGTAGTTTTGTGAAATAAGGAGTTTATATGCTGAACCTATTTTAATACTTTGTATTATGGGTACTTTCCTATGGATGTAAATATATTTAAGAGAATAAAAATAAAACAAGATTTAAAATTGTGTTGTGATTTTATTCAATAAATTATCACAGTTACCTTTTTATTATATTAAAAAGCACATAATATACATTACCTATACGTAAGGTACTAAATATAAAATTGTTATTCGAGTCGAATATTACCTACACCTGATTTTAAATTTTATTTCTATGTCAATAATGTCTAATTTTCTATGTGATGTTTTAGGCCTGAGGTGAGGTCATACCTCTTATTAAATTAATAAAGAACAATTTGTGACGTCATGCAGTAACACTGCTCAATAATTAAAATAATAATAATAATTTTGTTTGACAAAATCGGATTTTTATAAATAAAAATAAATTGTTTTTTACATATGATCGCCACGGTATGGTGCAATGGCTGACAACGAGAAATTATTAAAGACAAACATACTTATTAAATACATTAGTTTCCATTGGAATAGATAAAAACCAAGGAAACTGACTTGGATTTAAGAATCTCATCAAAAGCAGTGCATATTATGTTCGTTCAAAAGCTACTAAAGTTAATTTGTATTATGACATGGACAACAATTTCATTTATTGTCTTATTTTTGATGTTGTGATAGAAGAAACACATCAAAAAAGTAAGAAAAAGAAAATATAAAAAAGAAAGTATAAATACAACTATATTATTATCATTTTATAAACAGTATTTGCCAGCTACACCAAACCGTGGCGGTCTGAAAGGGGTCAAAAAATTCAAATAATAGCATTATTACATCACCAGGCCTCAACTTGAAACCGTCCACTATTCTCCAATTCTTTCAGCATAGTCCTGGCTTCTTCAATAGTTTGTCCTCCGGTTTTGCTCAGAACATCTTCTATAAAGGCCTCTCTGACATTGTCAGGCATATTCTTGGCGTTACCCGATATGTAGATGTAAGCTTTATTGGATATTAACTGCCACAACAGATCTTTGTTTTCTGATATTTTGTGTTGGACGTATCTGTAAAGGATAATGGGGTATTTATTATGTTGTTTGTACCTACTATGGACTACTGAACTATTTCAGTTTATGAGCTCAGCCCAAAGAGAAAAACAAGAGTTATTATTATCAATTCCTTTTCAATAGAGACTAAACTATCGTTACTTCCGTAATTATAACAAATGCACTTCAGAATATAATTACATTTCTAATCAAAAAAAACAAAATCCCATAGATCAAATCCATTATTGGGTGTGCGTTTACCCAAGCCAGATGTTGTGAAAATGGTCATTTTAATCTTATAGATAATTAGTTGTGCGGTATCTGTATATGTATATTGTTGTGCACATTTTTAAATTTGTTGCGCTTAGTTTTTTAATTATTTCACAAAAACATTTCCTGCTGGGGTAACGTTACCCCAGCCAAACCTTTTTCTTTCTAATGGGAATATTTAAATAATGACTAGCTATAAATTAGTTGAATAATGTTCTGCGTTTTCGCTTTTTCGTTACCACCTAAACTTGGTCGGGTTACCACGGTCATTCACTTCTTATCGTATTATCTCATTAATTATTTAACGTACTGAGCAGAAATTTTACTTATATACAACTATTTTACTAAACAACAAATTATTGACATAACATTCAGTTCATATATCCAATCCAGTGGCCAAATAACGCCGCGCGCATCAAGACCGTGCTCGTGAAGAACTCGATATCATTATAACTTGTTAAATACTTACAGAGTATCCTGAGGTTACCGGAGGCCCAATGAGGGGTTCATTGGCCCTCCCCCCGTGCCCTGAATCCCCAATATCCTCAAATTCCTAATCCCAAAAGGCCAGTAACCGGTAACGCAAGACCGTGCTCGTGAAGAACTCAATATCATCATAACTTGTTAAATACTTACAGGATACTAATGAAACTTCACATACATTTGAAGGCAGTCACAAGCTTTAAAATAACGTTTAAAGTAAGTCTTTAAAGTTCTTATTGAGAGTGCTGGGACCAATTGAAGTGTTTTTCTATTTAATGAAATAACCTTTGAGCTATGTATTATTTTGGTTGTTATATTGCAGAACAAATTTAAACTAATTCCTAAGAAACCATATACAAAATAAGATAAGAATCCGCTTAACCATTTCAAAGATCTAGCAAAACCAAAAACGTTTTTATAAAAAAAAAAAAATAAAAAAAAAACGTTACCCCAGCAGAATCTCGAATAACTTCGCAACCGATGAAAGAACAAATACAAAATAAGGCACAACATTTACTTCATCAAGACAACAAATTTTATAGCTAGTAATTATTTAAATATTCACACAGTCACAACTAATTATCTATAAAATTCAAATGACCATTTTCGACAAAATCTGGCCTGGGTAACGCACACCATTATTGGCATACGATGGTTCAGCGTGATTACCACAATGATATTTCTTAAAAAATGTACTCACACTTTCTCCTCCTGGTCTCTAGAGAAAGCACAATACAGAGTCAACTTGTCCTGTTTCACCATTCTCTCCAGATCCTCTCTGCAGTGGAAGTCTTTCTCTTTGTACCGACATCCGAATATTAAGTGTAGAGCATCCTTTTTTGCAGTTTGTAGCTTCTCCCTCTCTTGTAGGAGACTTCGGAAGGGGGCTAGACCTGTACCGGGGCCTATCATGATGTGGGGTGTCGACTGGAAATTAAAATAAATAGGTAATAAAATGCCAATATACTTACACTCTTTGCTAGTGACGTCATGCGTGAAATCAAAATCTCTGACAACACTTAGCAGATAATGAAATAAATGCAGAGGAAAAATGTTAATATAAAACTAGTATATTAGAAACGGCACTGTACAATGGTATGATGGTTGAGTGGTCGCGACATTAATGCCTATGCGCGCGTGTGGCCGTGAAGAAAAATGTCGGCCGGTGCTCCGTCCCTCGCGCCGGCCGACGACGCGCGTGGTGCCCCCGCGCCCCATTGTACTGTGCCATTTCTAATATACTTTTATTGTTACATATGAGTATTTTATTTAAAATCCCAACACTATGTCTATTGTTTCTCCTTCAATCATTCGATGATTACCCCCCCTTAAAAAAAAGGACAGTTGGCAAAATACACCCAGCTTCGCCACAGCTCAGACTAATTCTGTTTGGAAGGTATTACAGCCCTGGTTCACTAAAGCGCTATCCAGGGGTTCTCTATTTATGACAATTTTTATTAGGTCGAGGTTACATAGTCCTTTTTGCCCACCATCCTTTATTTTTTTATCTATAAGCCATGATCTAGGCTTACAAGTATTGCTATGATTATGGACGGAAAATAGATACAATAGAATAAAAGATCACTCACAGAATCTTTAGGAAACACAAGGGTTCCAGGTTTGATCCATCCAAACACTTTATCGCTGATCTTCAAATCTTTCAGCCAGTTTGAGGCTAGGCCGAGTCTTGGCTTCAATAACTTCGTTTTATAATTAACAACGGCTACTAATAGGTCTATGTCTCTACCCCCTGATGGTAAGCAACTGCTTGCGATAGAGAATGACCGCGGTTTGATGGTGGAAAATAACTCAAAAACTACTTCTAATGTCAACTTCGATGCGGACTTGTGAAAGTCGTGTAGGACCTGCGAAAAGAATGTGTTGTTAAATGTCCATAATAGTAATATAATTTATTGACCACCCGAATCGTTTCGATAACATGATTTGAGTATAGAATAGTCATATTGTGGTGTGAAATGGGTGTGCGTTACCCAGGCCAGATGTTGTCGAAAACGGATAACTTCGCAACCGGTGAAGAACAAATACAAAACAAGGCACAACATTTACTTCATCTAGACAACTAATTTTATAGCTAGTCATTATTTAAATATTCTCATTAGAAAGAAAAAGGTCTGGCTGGGGTAACGTTACCCCAGCAGGAAATGTTTTTGTGAAATAATTAAAAAACTATAAGCGCAACAAATTTAAAAATGTGCGCAACAATTACAGAAGCCGCACAACTAATTATCTCTAAAATTTAAATGACCATTTTCGACAACATCTGGCCTGGGTAACGCACTTGTAACGCCTCTGGTGTTCCTTCGTTTGCCGGGTTATCCCATAAAAAATAACAACATAACAAACCATCTACTCATACATATGAGTTTTAAACTAATATACCAGTTTAGGTATTTCTTTCTAAACTAGGCAATAATTCATGATTTCCAACAGCTAAAATTTTCACTTTTACAAATACAACAAAATATTAATTTAGACGAGAATATTTATTGGTCTAATCTAGTCTAACAAATATTCCCATTAAATATCTCACCTCCAACACAGTCCTCTTGGGCCTTCTACAATAATTAAGCCAGTCCTCCTGTCCCTCAGGGGAGCTGAGCTCTATACACTTCTCTCTTTCTAACTTATCCTCAGACACTTGTGCGAGAAGAGAGAAGACATATTGTGTCGGGTAACTGCGTAGGTCCCAGTATTGTTCGGCTATTTCATATAAAGTGTGCGGTTGTTTTAGGAACGGAGGGACGGGCATGTCTATAAAAAATATAATGATTAAAATCAGTAATTTATTAGGGTTATGGGTCCTTAAGTTGTATGCTTATAGCTAAAATATTCAGATACATATATGTATAAGTAAATTAAGATTAGTAAATTAAGATTTTTTTCTGGTCGAAAAATAGCTATGGATCTGTATACCACACAGGCTAAACCTAAATTAAGTTGTAAAGAAGAAATATACTATGAACCAGAGTCACGCATTGGTGTAAGGAATGAGGACTGTAAAGGTTCAGATTTCTAGAGTAACATAACACAAATATACGTGCAAAAAGCTAAACCTATATTGAGTCTGTAATCCGTAAGAAGACATACATTTAAACATGCTTCTTGTTCTAATAGGGTAGTTTCCTAAATTATATTTTAATATCCGTCTGGTATATTAATTTAAAACATTAGACACGTATTTTTTCTTTTCTCACAAAATTAAATACTTTCGATGATATATTAATTTTAAATATCGTGTGACGTCACAGCGTGCCACATTTTGACGCACATTATGACGCAACAACCTCCCACTCCTAAACTTAGCGCCATTTTATCTTATGTATTGCAACTTAATACGAGAAAATAAAAAAATACGTGTCTAATGTTTTTTCAATATCTAACTGACGGACTTATTAGATTTTTAATTTTGATACCCTGGAAATTACCCAATTGCATTACGTAAAGGTTGGCTAGCAACATACTCGTGTAAATACAGTCAGCATCAAAAGTTGATGAACACATTTAGATTCTCAAAATCGCTGCAGGTACAGCGTATTACCTGAATCAGTGAACATTACAAGCGCCAGGAAAAAATAATTATATTGTGTTGCATTTAAGGTGATGGTTTAGGTACAAAACGGTGTACAGCGGTTTTAGAAATCTAAACATATTCATCAATTTTTGATGCTGATCGTACCAGCATAAAGTTTAAATAAATCAACAAAGGTTAGGAAAGGCATCAAAAATAAATAAAAAAACAGCAAATTATAAAAATATATAATATTTATTTATTCCTCCTCTTGCCACCCGTCCTCATTGCTCAAGAACCTTCGTTTGGCCGCAGTGTTCATGTAGGGGCGAAGCGCCCATTCTGTGTCGGCGGCGTCCAGGGCATCCAGGGTACCTAACTTTATCTCATAGAGTTTCATCTGGAACCTAGGTCCAATCTCAGATAGTTCTATGTCTTTGCCCGCCTGAAAAAAGATTGAAATTATTAATTTTATTTCGTAATAGTGTACAATTTTTGATAATTGAATAAGAGGTTGTGGATTCGATTCTCGTGTCAGGCAAAGTATTATTATTGGTGGGCATTTTGATTTGGTAAATTTAAAGTCAAATTGGCTTTGTTTATATTGAAACTTTCGTGAAACACTAAATTAATTATGTTTCCGACTTACTCACGCAATGTTTGACAAGGAACTCGACTAGTTTCAAACCACGACGCGGCGACTCAGTAACAGCGCGACAATCGTTGCGTCGCGGGTCGCGGAATGCTGCTCATGCATATGAGCCTCTAGCATGGCTTGAAACGTTACGTGAGTAAGCCGAAAACATAATTAGTCCTTAATCTTTGTTACAAGAACCGAAACTCGCGAAAACATTGCGTAATACATACATAATACATACATAAGTGTGGGAGAGCTATGCTTCGGCACGAATGGGCCGGCTCGACCGGAGTGATACCACGGCCGAGCAGAAAACCGACGTGAAACAACGCTTGCGTTCCAGGTGTCCATGGGCGACGCCGATTGCTTACCATCAGGTGATCCGTCTGCTCGTTTACCGGATTATGCCATAAAAAACAAAATAATCAAAATACATATTGCACTACTTAATAAAACGTACCTTCTTATACGTGTGTTGTCTAAAGCAGATGTAGTCATCGTTGTTTGCGAATGTGATCACTCTTTTAGAGTCAGGTTTTGGCACGGGGAACAAATACTTCAGTATGCTCATTGTTCTTAGACCTGTGGAGTAAAATTATGAGTTTAAAGATATTTACTATGTTATGTTATTTAATATTTCCAGGTTTGGGATACTATTATTGAGACTTTCGGTTTGCGAAAATGTTTAGTACCAGCATAGACTTACACTATTAATTATTTTTGAAAATAAAATTTATTTTTGAAATTTTCTTGATGGTACCTTTAAATGCCGATTTTGTGATACTTTTCCTCCAAATGGCATTGTCGTGGAGCAACGAAAGAAATGCGACGAAATATCGTGTGAAATAAAAACGCATTGGACTTGGGAGAAACTTTACGACATTGACTATGTCGTTCATAATTATATTGTGTACATATAAATAATCCCTAATTTCTAAACTCCTAAATTAATAATAAGTAAACTCACCAAGATCAGTCTTAAAGTTATGGAAGATGAGATGTGGGAACTGCTCGCTCATAGGCCCAATGTCTGGGATGTCATGCCGCATCACTACTCCGGAGAGAGTAAACGATGCTGTTGGTCCGTAGGGTAAGTGGCAGATTACCTGGAAGAGGAAACATTATCATAATATGGTTTTTAGATTTTGTATCATGCTTGTGTTGAGTAATAAAATATTATTATTACAAGAGATGATTAATTTGTAGTTAGCTTAACTGACACAGATTTTGACACAATGTTCATTACTTAATTAGCTACTTCCGCGCGGTTTCACTTGCTCTGCTCGGCGCCAATTAATCGTAGCGTGATATTTTATAGCCTATAGCCTTCCTCGATAAATGGGCTATCCACCACAGAAATCATTTTTCAAATCTGACCAGTAGTTTCGGAGATTAGCGTGTTCAAACAAACAAACAAAAAAACAAACTCTTCAGTTTTATAATATTAGTATGGATTAAAACCTGCTAAAGTAATTTAGTACAGATATTATATACCCGGTTTTTAAGGCATAAATAAATAAAAATAAACTCACCAAGCTATCAGGTACACCTCTATGTTCATGCACCACAATAAAGTCCGTGACCTCATTGGCTCTGCATGCATGTATCAGTTGTGACATCTCGTAACCACCACGGTTCATACGCTGACTGTTTGGGAATATTAACCTGGAATATAATTTGCTCATTAGTGACCACACAGGAATACAAAACAAATTCAACAAACAAATATTGTATGCAAATTAGAACTGATAGAAATTCGCAACATACAACTGTTGATTGCAGGATTCTCCATTTCATAATGAACTGATTAACCGGTCACCGGTGATCGCTCTCCACTAACTGCATTATAGACCTTATTTCCAATGTTTTAAGACTACTTTTGTATGAACAAATTTAGGGAATGATTTTCAACTATTTTCACTGGGTTAAAATTATAATGAACATAACATATTGCTGCCTAAACGGTGGGTTTTGAATGTGTCAGATAAATTATTATAACTCACACCTGATTCCTATATTCCTAAACTTGTAAAATTAATGTTTTTAGTAATCTCACATTTTAAACTCTTAACAAAACTTTATAAAATGAGAAAAGAGATTCCGAAGATAAACCTTAGAAGATAATAAAATCTACTCACCTAAGTTCTTTAACAAACATCTTAAGCCTGGCACTGGGTTCCCGTGAAGTTGTGATCATGATCTTCGGGTCCTCAACTCCAGCATATCTATACTCATCATCTTGAGAGCTCTGTGTATTTGCGCCACCACTGAAACCACCTATTACTGCTGCTCTTTCTGGACCTAAAATAGGGGATGGTTTTATTCAAATTTCGAAAGACAACAATAAGTATTATTTTATTTAAATATGATTCTCTTGTTTTTCATACTTGAGAGATCGGAATATCGATAAAATAGATCAAGAATAATAAACTAATAAATGCTTGTAATGGTAGCCATTTGGATTACCAAAGGCGTAAGCATGTTATTTTGATTAACATTGAAACTTAGGTTATAACAGCATTTGTAAACAAAACAACTAAATAAATAATAAATAATTGGATTAAAACTTACCTTTATCTTCATAGTCTATTCTTTTTTGTAAAGCAAGGGCTTCCTTCCTCAGATCCCCGTGGATTGGAATATTTTCTTCCAAAGACCGTTTTAGTTGATCTTTTTTCGCTTGAATATTTTTCTGTTTGTCTTCCACAGACTTTCTGTACAAATATTCACGGCGCAAACGCGCCTGCCGCCTCAACATTTTGAACTTTTATTGTATTTTAAGTTATTTAACGTGAAATAATTTGTGTAATTTCGATAAAACAACACGCCGTGTTTCAGATGCAAATGACGTTAGGGAATTGACTTGACAGTTCCGCACGTGTTTATTTTGACGTTGACGTTTCGCGTTTTGTTTCCTTTGGTACAGGGTGGTTTGTGAAAATTTTTTTTAGTTCAAATTAGAAATTTAAAATTTTATAAATTAGAATAAGAATATTTGTGCATGAATTACTAAATATATTGAAAAAACACGCAAGTTTTATTTTGAGTTATAAAATGAGGCTTTTGTTTGTATACTATGTTGAATGAAATAAAACAAAACGTAAAATGTTTCGTCTAGAAATGGTTTAGGAAGATTTCGTTCAAAACTGTTAATTTTTGCTATCTTATATTACAGTAGCCTGTGTGGTATAGAAAATTTAATAAAAAGAATCTTCTATAAATAAAAATAATGTTAGATATAAATATTTCCAGAAAAACTTACCATCATGACATTCTTCAACTACTAAATTGTAATGAGGTAGTATATCAATGTTGTGCTCTTTGAAAATATTAAATAAATCTTCTACATCCTCCTTACTATTCCTAGGGCGTATATTGAATACGTCTCCAGGTTGGTATTTAACTACGGTTTTACCTGTAGTTTTGAGTGTAATCATTCGAACATCCTAAAAAATAAGGAACAATAATTATTTTTCCTTTTAAAGGAAGTAGCATGATTACTTACATCATATATTATATTTGTATATTCTCCTTTATTAAGTCTATTTTATTTTCCCTATGTGAGATGAGACTATTGCCAGAATGGTGTGCATCATTTAAACAATTTTTTAAATTAAAAATTCCAATATGATTTTAAAACTTAGAAAGGCTTTCAATATTGTAATACTTACTTGAAAATGTGTAATATGTGTAGTTCTATAATTTTTGACAACTTGGAAATGCGTGGCATCAACAAAGCTATCCCTTATGCCTTTAGCAAAATATATATCTTCCGTCAAACCATCTTTTTTATTAGTAGTTTTATCCTCACATTTTTCTAAAGATACCTTCCATCGAGGTATGAAAGTGGTTTTTATGTTGTCTGGCTCTATTTTTGGATAATATGTCTTTAATATAGATAAATATTCCTTTAGCCAGGGTGCCAAAACTGCATCATGGCCTAAGTCATGCTGGTAGTCACATAGTCCTACAAGAAAAATAAAAACAAAAAGTGAAATACTACTTTTATAATACAGATTATTTATAGGGTTCCAATTTTGATTGTGTCATCATGCTTTTTTAGAATGATATTGATCACAGGCAAAGGAATCAAAGACATAAAGCCTTTAAAAAACTTAGATAATTACAGACTAGATGGCTTGATGCTATCAAGTAGAAATTCATAGATTTGTTATTTAGAACAAATAAATTATTGCTAATCTCTAATATTACTATTTCTTCTCTGATAAATTATCTGATAAATAGGCATCAATCAAATATGGGACAATAATTCTGATAAGAATCTTAAAGCATATCTGACATCTTCTGATACCTACAATTTCTTTTATTTTACAAAATTTAACAAAGAAATAATTTAAATCTTACCTATATCTAATAATGGTGTTGCTCCTAACTGTAACAACCGCCTATGCAGCTTCTTGCCAGCGAAATTGAACTTCAAATACGACGAGTCACCGAGACCAAGCACTCCATATTTTAACTTCAATAAAGAGGTAGCAGGTAGATTTTTTCGCAACAAAAACTTCCAGAACTTCTTCATATTATCTGGCTCGTCACCCTGTCCAGTTGTTGCACACACGAATATAGCAAATTCCTCTTTAATAAGGCTAGTTATTGGGTACTCGTCCATTGCCTGAACCGGCCCTCGAAATCCTAAGACTTTCGTTTTCCGCCATATTCTTTCTGCTACTTCTTGAGCCGTGTACGTTTGGCTGCCGTAAAGCACGATAAGTCTGGGCGCTTCACTCATTTTATTTAATTTATTTTACTGAATAACCAAATTACGGCAGTACCGCACAAAACAATACTCTTATCAGCTGTTTGTTGACATTAGCAACGTCTCATCGTGACATGACATTTGACAATTTCAAGTTCGTGCGGTTAGATACACATAAAATTAATTCGAAACGTAATAGTGTTTGTTTCGAATTTTTTTATAGATTTGATTTTGTTATTCTTTTTTTTTAATAAAATTAAATAAGCAGTATGGTTAGGTTTAGAAGTACTAAGGAAATAAAATTATAATACGTGCGTTAAGTCACGTTAAGTACATAAGTGCATAGGTGGCGCTATTTGGCGTCCACTGTCTATCCCCACAAGATGAGGTAGCGTGAGATTATGAGCATCATTATCATTTTATTCGGACAAAATTAGTTTTTACAACAATAGAAGACACACTAATAGGCGATAAAATAATGAAATAAAAAGGTAATTTATTATCCCCGCGAACTTTTGAATTTCTCCGGATAATAAGATGTTAGATAACATTATCCTTCATGACTTGTAAAAGTATGGCAGACGCCTATTTAATTCGACCATTTGAAACAAGGGCTTACAGCTCATCGTAATGAGAAACATACATTTCTGTGAAATATATGAATTTAAATAATACATTCACTTTTACTATTTAACTCGGTGCGCTAAACTCGGTACAACTCGAACCCTATCTGATTTACTGAGATTCTGCACAGCTGGATGAAAACCCAATCATTCAAATTCCATATCTTTTTCATATCTCGTACCGGCCTGATCTCCAACCCCTTTGCATCCCTCGTACAGGCGGTCAATACTATACAGTTATCTCTATTGCACCTACCGGAATTGACCTTCTGTCTCTTTCATATTTGGCGCACGGCAGTCTCGCGGCCCGACTTGGCGGGCTTAGTCGCTTCGGCAGAAAAACGCGGGAAATAGTTTTAGTGAAGTGACATTTAAAAGTATTTTAACTTTGTGAATTAAAATTAAAATATTAACACACAAAAATGTAAGTATTATTTTTATTAGCGTGTGTTGTTGTTAATATGGATTTTAATACCGGTTTTTACCGTAATAAAAATGTGTTAACCTTTGACATTTCCTTTTAAGTAACATTTGCCAAATAAAATCATAATTTTATAGCAATTTAAATATTTATGCGATAAGTATTATTTTTAAGGACAATTTTTGCGCCTACTAGGTAATTTGACTACGTCCTACACGCGCTCAAAAATTGGCCTACCAAAGAAATATTTAAATAAGGTCACACTTAGAAAATGTGTAAAAGAAAATATATTTCCATTTTATTAAATCAATCGTGTAGTAAAATTTTATAGGTATCTACCTATTAATTTATTTTTTACTAACTCACCTATCTAAATACATACCAGCTCACTACCTATAATAGGTAGATATCTTTTACGCTATTTACGGACTTGCATAAATTATTAATGCGATTATCTTTCTATTTTTACCCAATAACCTTCAAAAATAATTAGAAACGAAGCCGGTAATAAAATGAAAACCTACGTTTAAAATACTGAAATCGATGTCTAATAATAGCAGAATCTTCAATATTGTTATGTATTATTATCTACATTACCTATTTACACATTATTATAACCTCATAGATAAAAAATCCAATAAATAAGACACAAAAACTACATCAGCGCGGTCGTGATTGATGATAACAATGATGAAATTACGTCACAAATATGTTATGAGATAAAGCTCTGAAAAGCGCTGCGAAATATTTAATTTTTAACATTACTCCCAAGTTAGGGCGCTGAAATAGGCATTTACCTAATATAAATTTGTAAGAAAGTAGATTTTTTATGTCATTAAAAAGTTGTCTATCCTAACAATTAATACACAAACTCTTAAATAAAAAAAATATAAATATATAAATTCCATTTTCAAATAATTATTAAAAGCATATTTCCCGCGTGAAAAGTAGCGGTTCTTGCGTCAGACGAAGCACGTGGCGTCATCGATCTGCCTCCCTCTGCCACCCAACGCTTTGGGGGTATGGAGCATAACCCCAAAATGTCTTTTACCTTTGACCCCTAGCTGGCCTCGGGACTATCGTTGCAGAGAATATTATATAAACTTATGTTATTTTAAGAGTATTGATAACTAGTTGCTTATCTATATCATAGTTTAGTTTTTATAACTAGTTTTGTCCGCGTTATGGGGATAAAAAGCAGCATTGCTGTGTTATTTCATAGAAATCTCCATACCTACCTAACATATTGCTTTCATTTAGATTCGTTTAGTAGTTTTTACCTGAAAGAATAACATATCTACATAAGTACAGACTTCGCATAGGTACTTTCGCATTTTAATTCTAATTTCTATTTTTTAAACTATGTTTTATTAAGTTTTTTTTTTATTTTTCAAGGACATGGCAGTGAAATCGAATAATATCTTTTGTATGTAAATTCAAAATTACAAAGTATGTTGTTTCCGAAGTCGATATTTGATAAGAGCAGTTTGTTAAAAATAATTAACTAAGTAATTGTACTAACTAGTACAATATGTTATAATTAACAGTTCGGTTTCGTTTCAACACAATATTTTCGAGTTTTCAGGGTCTTAGATTGTTTTATTGATTACAGAATTTACAGAACTGATGAAATTATTAATTTTTGTATAGGTTGGATTTTAACTTCAGTCCAAAACAATTAGTTCCATACATTACCTCGTTGGCCTAGTATTCTCGTGTTAGCAGGCGTAATCCCTCTACAATTCCTGGGTAGAAATATTTAGGTATTTCAGTTTTTTTTAAATTTTCCTGCACACACAGTACACTCACTCCCTATTAACATATCGAGTGGAAAAGGAGTGGTTTACTGATTATCCTCTGGGGTGGAGCTCTGGTGGTTTAAGAGCGTGAAGTTATTTTACATAATTTTCAGAATTAGATAAAACTATTGTTTAATTAAAATAAAGCATCAAGTCAAATTCAATGAATATATTTTATTAATGATTCTAAAGCTTTCGTTACACTTTCATTTAAATCAATAGTAGGTACCTGTCTCTGAAAAACTAACGAAAGCGAATTATTTCAGCTGAAAGTAAAATGTCTGTTGATTACGTCATCCCAGGTACCGTTGCTTATTGAAAACCACTGAAGCGATATCTGAAACGATTTATCTTTTGTTCTCATTTTATTCCGGAATTTAAGGAAAAATAGCAGTATTTAAACTTTACTTAGAAGATTAAAGTATTAGAAAGTGTGGGAGCGTCATGCAAGAGTGGGAGAGTCATGCTGTGGCACGAATGGGCCGGCTCGACCGGAGTGATACCACGGCCTCACAGAAAACCGACGTGAAACAACGCTTGCGTTGTGTTTCGTCGTGTGAGTGAAGTTACCGGAGGCCCAATTACCCCCTCCCTAGTCCCCGTCTCCCGAATCCTCGAATCCTCTACAATCCTCAAATTCCTAATTCCCAAAAGGGCGGTAACGCACTTGTAACGCCTTGGTGTTTCGAGTGTCTATGGGCAGCGCCGATTGCTTACGATCGGGTGATCCGACTGCACGTTTATCGGCTTATTCTATAAAAAAACATTCATTTGTACCTAATCATGTTTAATGAAAGGGCCGTGGTGGTCCGGAGGTTTAAGACGGCCGCTATCTCATGTATGAGAGTGCAGCTATAGGCTATTCTGGATCGTCAATTTGAACTCTCGAAGTGGGCTCGATCGCAGTCCGAATAATCTCGACCCATGATTCGCGAGAATGCAATCGAACTCACGTCGAGAGATCGAATTGACATCTTACAGAACAGCCTAGCCGGTTCAAAATTTACCAACGGCAATGTGACTTCTTCCGAGTTACATGCTTTCTAAAATTATTTAGACATCACTGACAAACGGTGAAGGAAAACATCGTGAAGAAACCTAGGCTTATAATTTCTTATTATAAATTTGAAATTGCATTAACCAGCACGCATTGAGCATGCATGGTGATTAAAGCTCATACATTCTCCGTGTGAGAAGAGGCCTGTAGTCAACAGTGGCCCCTTATAGGCTGTTGATTATAATGATGATACTATTTAACAGTTTAAGGAAAACTCTTATTTATTCCTTATGTAGACACAATCTTATATTTTAAACTTTCTATACATATTTTTAAATATCTACTTTCAGTCCTAAGTTTAAGGAAAAATCAGTACCTAAATTATTATGGTAAATGTCCATGTATAGGTACCCTACCTAATTTACATATTATATAATAAATAACCCACCTAAGTCCAATCAAAGAATTTTTGCAAATACACCAACGAACTTTTTCTTTGTCTTATGTCCAAATACTCAAACGTCACTAAATTTTATGTCGCCTATAGTCCTGTCACTACAAATTCTTTGTGAAATATAATGTAATATTTAAGTAGGTATTTAAAATTTAGCTTTTCTCAGTATTCGAACGTAAAATACACAGTACTTAGCACTGCAATCTACGGCAATAATGTCGTCATTCAACAATTGATCTTAACCGTTACAGCATTCAGAAGTCGTGGTCACATTCACGTAATCATTAATAGATATTTCACTATCAATCTATTTCCATTTCATGTTAGTGCAATTCATTTGGCAAAGATATTAATTAGAGTTATAAAGGTCACTGAAAGACCCACTTAGTTTCGAATTGTTTGGTTCCAGACAATGCTTGTTCCTTGCGGGACATAAAAGATATGACTAATCTTAATCTATTAGGTATGAAATGTGGGTAAAAGTAGGTACTGTTTTAATTTAATTCGGTGACTGACGTGGCGTTATCCTTATATCCTTCTATAACCCTTGTTTTTGAACGTCTAATAAGGAAGAGTGTAAAAACTTTTTTTGTGTCTAAATATCGTAGAATTAATGAAGCATTAGTATATAGACGAAATACTTCAATAATTGAAAATAATTGCTTAAGTACAAACGCGATTTAATTGAGTAAATCTCTACAAATTGGCTTCACCATAACGGGACCCTTATTCATATACAGTGTGCTAATGAAAAAGTGTTTTACTCGAGATACCCTTAACACAGTCATATTAGTTAATTACTTTGTCATCACTCTCTCTCAAAAACCTTAGGTCCTGTTACATAAGCTCTAAAATAGCATGTCAAAAGGCGTTCTATTGAGCATACACAAACATGTTGAAAAATCTAAGGCCTCGATTTTCGAATGAATCGAATTCGCAAACAACATTCGGACACTCGCTACTAAGTGACAATGACAAGTACTCAATTAAAGCATGCTTTCGAGTTTGAAATTAGCATGTGCTACAATACTTTTAGATTGGTAATCAGAAAAAAAATTTAAGTACTTCCCTTCCCTTATCCTCCCCTTCCCCAATCTCCCCAATTCCTGAATCCCCAACGATCCTCAAACTCCTAATCCCCAAAAGGCCGGTAACGCACTTGTAACGCCTCTGGTGTTCCAGGTGTCCATGGGCGGCGCCGATTGCTTACCATCAGGTGATCCGTCTGCTCGTTTACCGGCTTATGCCATGAAAAAAAAAACTTCCTTCGAAAATAGAACCGGGACAATCAATAGCCAAATCCATTCATAGTTGTTTAGAAAATTGAATCAATAAATTTAGATTGACATTGACAGACCTTGTCGTGTTATGACTCTATTGATTGCTTGGAAAATCAGCAACAAAAAAAAATAAACTAGCATTATCGCTAGCAATCGTCATTCGATAACTTCAATAGGTCATTTAAAACAATATGTATCTAACCGCTGTACTCGGAGTCATTCAATAATCACTCAACCCAGTCCTTAATAATTGTTTTCAATACAAAATCGTCACTAAGTAATAGTTTAAGTAATATAATAAGTAATAAAATAATAATCGGATCTGGGTGTGATGTGATATTGTATTTATGTAAACGCACCCACGACACAGGAGAAAATCCAAGTGTGGGGCAACGTTAAAAAAAAAAAACAAAAATATGTCTCTGAGTGCGGACGTAAGATTTTTTAGAAATAAAGATTGACCAACTTATAGT